CGAGATGAGAATATCGCAACCGCCGCCGCCGCCGCCCCCCTTTCCGCCCCCGACCGTCGCAGACTTCCTTTATTTGTTGATCAACACAGCTTCGCCGCTTTTCTTCCTTTCTTTCTTCCTTCTCCTCTCTGTCCCGCGACTTTCGCGCGTTCGCTCCGATTCCGGTTATTTTTCGTTTCCATTTTACCCGAAGACGCTGGTTAAACATCTTCGAAAGTAGCACATCCCTTTTGGGAGCGCGCGAGGCAAAGGAGGCGCCAATCGGATTGCGCAGCTTGGGAATTTCTGGTTTCGAACGGTGGATTCCGGGTTTTTTCGGTCGGAGGTCTGATTTCAACCCTTCTGACCCGGTGTTGATCGATGTGTTACGTGTGTATGAGGTATCTCTTGTTTTCAGTTATTGATTCGGACGTTAAATATTTGCAGAAGCTACTTAATCGAACGAAATATAAGTACAATGTAAAAATTATTCATAGAGCGTGGAAATGGTTTCCTTTGGTAGATAAAATACTAAGGGTGGACTGAATAACTTCGCCCCCGCGCGAATGAGAATGGACGCGGGGACGATATTTCAATGGAGGAGGGAATTTTACGTGGAAACCCCATTTATCATTCCGTTTAAGTGTTATTCTCCAAGTGGCTCGAGTTTCTGTGGAAATAAGTGAGTTGTTGGTACAACTTCATCGACGAGCGGTTAATCTAGCTCTTAAATTCCCATTGTTACAACTTTCGAGAACAGATTTGAAAGAAATGTTTTGGCAACTCGGTTTATTCGTATTCTAAACTATAAATCTATCTAACTCTTGATAAACACGTATTAGACTCGATTACTCGGTGGTCCTAATGTCAAGCATAACAACGAGAAAGGAGTTTAGCATAATTACTATCTTTACAAACGCTCTCAGTGATACCGGAGGACGCATTAAATATCAGGAAAGAGTTTCTTGGCCGGAGCGTCCTTAAACGGAGGAATTAAACATGAAGTTTCTCGAGGAGTTGCAAAGTGGCCAATAAAAATCTCGTTACGGATGGCCCGAAATTCATGCCACGTTGTCTCTGGGGAAAAAAAAGGACACGCTGTAACGTTTTTGTTACTTGGCAGCGGTCGCGTCGCAACAGCGGTGTCCACGGCACCGTGAAATCCGCTGGAAACCAACGCGCCCGCGCGCGCGCCTCCGCGACGGTGGCTTTATTTCATTCAAAATTAAGAAATCGCGTAGACGTCGCCGGAGACGCTCGTTGAATTAAAGTCTGGAGCCTTCGTCGGAACCGTGACGCCCTCGTCCCCATTCATTTTTAAACGGTTCCCGGCTAAAAAGATTAAATCCAACTTCGCGCCTCGCCTCCCTATTATCCCAGCATTCAACCCGAGACTCGTGATTCTTTTCGAAAAAAAACATAAACCAAACACTTGGACATCGACGCAAATGAAACTTGAACCGACGCGAATGCGGGCGGAATGGTTTTCGAGAGATTAAAAAACGTTACGGTCTCGCATTCGGGTCAAAGACGGCCAGTTTAACGTTTTCTGGGATGGTAAACAGCCGCGCATTACCGGATTAAAAATGGCCACGGTTCGGGAACAATCTCGAGGGAAGATTCGTTCCGATGCGGGGTGATAATTATACGAAAATACGTGGGAAACGGGCTAATGAAATGTTTGGCTAACGAGGTGAGCTACTGGAGCAATTGGAGACGGAACAGTGTTTATTAACACTAACTATCGAACGTTTAATATGATTAATATGTATTTCCTGTGAAAATTGCAACGATAGATTTGCTTTTCCTTCATATTTATTGTAGTATCCAAGCGGAATTCATTATATAAATCATTTCGGAAGTTCTATGCCTTTAAGATGTCGACAACAGCGACCTAAGGAAACCGAGACCCGCCATTTTGTCGGGCGCGGTAGTTCGAGCGTTAATGCTTTGGTATCGCGGTTCTT